TTCCATCAGTCTGGCCAGGCATCTGCCTCCTGCTGTCTTTCCACAACTTTTTTTTTTGGCATTTCTCTTTCCCATCTTCCCAATAATAGCTATCCTGGTGTGTGTTTGCTGCCTCCCCACTTCCCACTTTTTTTTTTCCTTTTAGAATTTAAACAATGAAGGGGAATAAATTAACTGTGYTAGTGAGAGATAAATAAGGAAGGAAGCTTTTTTTGGGTTCCTGGCTCACCCCCACCCCAAATCCCTCTACTCTTAGGGATAAGTTATAGTATAGAGCCAAGTATAAGTATAGCATAGAGCCAAGAATCTTAGTTCAAGTCTTGACCCTAAAGAATGATCTTCCTTAACCTCTCTTTTCCTCATTATAAKATCTATTTAGTAATAGAAATTTCTCTCATGGATTTGAAAAGAGATGGTACATGAAAAATGCTTAGAATGGTGACTGGGCCAACATATAAACTGCCACCATTATCAGGCCACTGAAGCCACACCAAGATATTAGCCTCATATTGAGATCACTGGGATGTGGGACAATGAAGAACACTGGGCTATTTGGAGTGACATGTTTGGGATTGTGTTTGGGGATGGATAATGGGAAATATGAACAAGTTATGAATTCTTCTGAGTTTCATCTGTTTGCATCAGAAATGTGAGAAAATAATAATATTCTTCTTTCTTAAAAAGATTAAAACAGATTTACCTCCCCCTCCTCCTTTGAAAAAACCACYTGTTTTAATCAACTTTTTTGTTACTGTGACCAAAAGTTTATTTGAGCTTCACAGTTTAAGAGGTCTCATTCTATGCATGGTCAACTCTATTGCTCTGGGCCTAAGGTGAGGCAGAACATCATGGTAGAAAGGTGTGGTGGAGGAAAGTGGCTCAGAACATGGCAATCAAGAATCAGAGAGAGAGAGAGAGAGAGAGAGAGAGAGAGAGAGAGAGAGAGAGATAGTTCTGCTTACTAGGTACAAAATATAAACCCCAAAGGCACACCCCCTATCTCCTCTGGCCACACCGTACCTGCTTATAGTTACCACCTAGTTAATACATGTCAGTGGATTAATCCACTGATTAGATTAAGGCTCTCATAACCCAATCATTTCACCTCTGAAAATTTTTGTATTGTCTTACATATGAGCTTTTGGGGGACACTTTACATCTAAACCATAATATTACTCAGAGGACTAAACTGGCCCMATTAATCATCTTCAGTAGCTTTAAGTGATGCCTGTGAATTAATGTAAGGTTACTCCTAACTGTCCAGAGGGCAAAAGTTAAAATAGGTACTGCTTATGGAGCACAAATGTTGGTTATTTCTCAGACAGTCAAATTTTCTTCCCTGTTGATTCTCAGATATCAGCATTTTGAAGGAGGGATAGAGAGTCAAATGCTTCAGTCTCTTCAGGTGCGAGGGTGTAAGAGCAGAAGAAATTAGGTTGGTGGAAGGGGAGTGAAACCCTCTGGTTAGAGATTGAGGGTTTTCAGGTTGTGTGTGTTTGGGAGGTGGGAAGAGGTGGGAAAGTCTCAGATTCCTCATCCATCAGGTGCAAAGATGACTGAATCCTTTGCCAAAAAGAATTTGGTYTCTGAAAACATTTTGGTATTTCTGTGGTTAGCTTCCATTAGACTTCTTTTGCATACATTGTGTTAATGTTTTGACAAATCCTTATTCTTATGAAGATTTTGCACAATTTAAGTAGGTGTGGAGTGTAGATTTAGTGCCTTTGCAAGTCACTCTGAGTATAATTCCTGGAGAATATTTTATGGTTCTATTTCTAGTGTCCCAAAAGACTACAAAGGCGTGGTTAGGCTCACATGCCTCCTTGGTATCATCCAGAATGACAGGCATTCTCTGCTTCCATTTACAACATGGTGATGTTAATTAAGGTCCCTCCATTAATGATTCTCTGAGTTCAGGTCATACCCTTAGTGGCTTAGAATCTGGGCCTAACTAACTGTTGATTACTGTCCAAAGTGAGCAAGTGTTTTCCTTAAATAGAATTTGAGATTAAAAAAAAAGTTGTTTCTAGTTTCTTCATATCTCTTGACCATTTAGGATTTGACCTTTCTGCTTTAGCACTGGGGTGAAGGGTGAGGGCATTGGGAAAGCTGGCAAGTGAGCTAGCATTTGAATTTTTCATTATAGGCATGTTTTGCTTAGTGAACTAAGGGACTTAAGGGATTTGCCTCAATTGAACCAAAATGCTTTAAGTAGGATACAAATTTCCTGTTTACCTCAGGCTTTATTACTTCTGTTGTTGAATTGACTTTTGTGGTGGAATCCAGAATCTTTTAAATTCTATTCTGTCCTAAACACTTAAAAAATGGACTTCTATTCCACTCTAGTTATAATGTCTTTACATTTGGCTTGAGATTTAGCTACTTTCTTGCCTAAATCAAATGATTTCTTATTCATTTGTAAAATTAACAAAGTTAACWATTGAATAGTGATTCAGAGCACTGTGAGTTACTCTTATTTAAAGTTGTTTTATTTAATTCTTTGGGTTATTACAATAATTCCATGGCTGGTGAGGTGATATTTTTCTCCATATTACAAATAGCAGGTAGTATAGCATAATGATTAAGAGTATGAGTGCTGGAGTTAGATAATTTGAGTTTGAATTTTAGCTTTAGTAATTCCTAGCCTAGTCTCAGCTAATAAACCTACCTATTTTCCGTGCCTATWAAATGGATACCCATTTTATATGGCTGTATGAGAAGTAAATAATTCAGGCAAACACATGAAATAGTACCTATCATATATTAAGTGCTCAGTAAGTCTTATTATAATTAATATTATTATTATTRGTAGAAAATATACAAAGAAATGGAAACTCAAAAAAGTGGAGCAATCTATCTAAGGTCATAACAGTAAACAGGAAAGTTAGGGCATAAACTGAGATTGGGAGACTTCTGACATTGGTTTTACATCTAAATTCTGTATACATTCTGGGAGGCTATAATTGGGGTCATCCTATTTTTCATCTTTTAACTTCTTTATCTTAATTTTCTTTGTGTTCTCCCCATTTATACCTGTTGGATATTGTCTGTCCAGTTATGGGATTGATTTCTTAGAATTCAGCAGAAGAGGGTCCCGCATTGTGGCTCAGTAGTAGAGTGCTTGCCTAGCATGCGTAAGGCACTGGGTTCAATCCCCGGCACCACATAAAAATAAAAACAAATAAAATAAAGGTATTGTGTCCATCTATAACTAAAATAATAATAATAATAATAATAATAATAATAATAAAGAATTCAGCAGAGGAGTTAACAGTAGGTGCAAGGATATCCCCTGATCTCCCTCTGAATTCTGCCCCGATAGTTTTGAGAAATCAACATCTTATTTCTATTAAAGCATATAATTATTTTCATACATTGAGAGATTTTTTTTTTTAAAAAAGTAATTAATAAATATAAACTTCTCAATTCTCTAATTTCTTCTTAAGAGGGAGAATATTTAAATTTTGGTGAATCTCATTTGTTGTTTCATATCCCTTTGAGATAGTGGAAAAATGGGTTATATTAATTCATTTTGGGGAAAAGTAATTGAAGTTCAGTGTGAAAAGAATACAGGGGTTAGAGTCACACAGATGAAGTTCAGATCTGGTTCCTCTTTGTCTATTATATGTCTCTAAACTGTCCTCATCTGTGTAATGGTGATAAGCAGAGTGTTGTTTGGAGGTTTAAAGGAAGTTTTTAGCATACTTGACATATACCTGGCACTCAGTAACTAGGGCTATTATTACTGTTGAGGAAAAGATTACTTTTTTTTTTTTTTTTTTTTTAACCAGGGATTGAATCTAGGAGCACTTAATCACTGAACCCTTTTTACTTTTTTATTTTGAGACAGGGTTTCCCTAAATTGCTTAGGGCCTTGCTAAGTTGCTGAGGTTGGCCTTGAACTTGCAATCCTCCTTTATTAGCCTTTGAAGTTGCTGGGATTACAGGCATGTCCCATGCCCAGCAGGAGGTGACTTTTCATACTGGCTCAGAGTTATAGTTAAGTGGGTATCCAGTTCTCACTGAATGCTGCATGCACTGCTTAATCTGGATATGTTTTCTCTACATTTTAAATCTAAGTTTTGATATTTAGGTTATTTTGAATGTGCCCCTTGTGGGTAGGTCACTGGCTCTGTGGGTCAGCAGGCCATGTGCAATGCCCCTTACGTCAAAATTCCAAGTTTACTTCATGTCACAAGACAGAGTTAATGAATCCGCATGACAAACAAGGAATATGATACTTGCAGAATCTGTCAGATGGTGTTTGGATAGCTATTCTCAGAAAATTAAAGTAGCAGGTGTTTACTGAGTATTTACTACATACTTGGCATTGTGTGAATTAGGTGATACAAAAGGTACTTTATCTGTCTTTCACAAGACTCAGAATTTTCTGTGGAAAGCAGATATAATAGAAATGTAACACAATTAAAAAACAACAATAAATACTGTAATTTAATCAAGAGCACTCTGGAGTAGGTGTTGCATGGGCTCTCATAGCCTAGTAGATAGAGTCAAGTAAACCTACATTTAAAGAGTGGTTCAAAAAATGATGATAGAGTTATAAATAGGGAATGAAGAGGAAGGGTTATGTGGTATGTGTAAATGTGGGTGGTGGTGTCAGTTCCAGAGGGAGATGATGTTTGAGTAGTTGATTAAGGGGATAGAGGAGGATTGAATGAGGAGGACAAAAAAAAAAAAATCATGGTTGTAAAGACATGGAGAGGTGTAAGAGCCTGGTAGTAAGGAAGAACAGCATTTGTTCCATATTTTTGGTAGCTGGAGCTTAGGGTTATGGGGAATAGTGGCAGGAGAGTGAGCTGGAGAAATGAGCAAGGGTTAAGTCATTAAAGACCAGACTGAGAAGTATGAGCATTAAAATGTTGGCAAGCCAGCAGGCAAGCACTGCAGTGTTAGTGTTTCAGGATGGTCTGGAATAAGAAATGAATGAGAAAGGGATCTGACTAGACTTATAGTGTAAATCAGTTCTTTTACTTTTCCAGGTGGAACTTGCAGAAATCTGTGCCAAGAGTGAGCGTTATATTGGCACTGAAGGAGGAGGCATGGACCAGTCCATATCATTTCTTGCAGAAGAAGGAACTGTAGGTAGCATTGAGCTATTTGGAAATATCAACAGGGGAAAATTCATAGGAGAGGAAGGCCTTGAGCTTCYCAGCATGCTTGGTTATGAGCAACTTTTTCTATTAGACTATATTATAAAATGTTCTTTCCCAACTGCTTTATATCACTGGTTAAATTACTCTGTTGCATGTGGATAGTCTCTACCTCTCCTCCAGAATCATATCTCAAGTCAATTTTTTACTTGTTTGTTCCCCCCCTGCCATGTCTTCATTTTAAGATGAGATTTCTCAACTCCTACTTATTGAGATCTCCTTTCCTGCTCCTGTCCTAAGTCACTTTATCTCATGGCATTTGCATAATCTCATGTTGACTTTAAACCCAAATTAGTTCTCTTACCACATGTATTTACAACTCCTCTTTTTATAATTTACTCTTTGGTATCATTTTTCTCTGTCAACATTTTTGGGGTTTCAGTGGTGGGAAAAAGAATGTTGACAGTAAGCCAAGAATGAATTCCTTAGCTGGATACTACTTCCCCCTGCCCATCAACTCCTTTAGGCAAGACAGAGGTTTTGGTTGTTACCCATAAACTGCCCATTTCCAAAATAGAAGCAGACATTTCTTTAAGATATTTTCTTAGTTTTTCATCATATTCCTACAGGCTTGGCTATCTTCCAGGAACACCTGGATTCCTTCTTGTTAAGAATATTTGTTGTTGATTTTCCTAAGCCAAAGACATGAAGCATGAGGAAATTTGGCTTAATACTAARAAAATACTCTGGGTGTTTTGGATGAGAGCTGACAAGCAGACATGATGGCAACAGTATGGAAGTTAATGTAGATTAGGTATAGAGTCTGAACAGAGTCCAAGTTCTTTGGACTTTGGCAAAGTGCTCCACCATCTGACCCTTACTTTACTCCTCCATTGTAACTTCACACCACTTCTCACTCCTCAAACTCTAAATTTCAGCAAGTTTCAATATTCAAAACTCTATTAACACCCAACATTGTTTGTTGCCTCTGGACTTGCATAAACTTTTTCTTCTTGACGTCCCATTTGAGGATAGAAATTTCTTTCTGCCCTTCTCTTGCTCATCTTTTAGTTTTCAATTTATATTTTCCTTTTTTGAAGGAGTTACACTAGGCTGTATCTGATTAGGTGCTTTAACTAAGTGTCTGTATAGTATCCTGTGCTTTGCTACCACTGTCACACTTGTAACTTGGAAATGTATTTGTCTACTTGACTATCTTTGCTASTAGATTATAGGCTCTATGAGGGAAGGGATACTATCTGTCTTGTTCACTGTTTTATCTCCAGGGCCTGGTACAGTGACTGGATGTCAATAAATGCTCTTTAAATGAATGAATGCATTTTGAGAGAAGATTTTGTTAGGATAAATACATAAAATGTTTAAGCATTTTCTGAATCCCAATCAATTATATCTCATTTGTCATTTTTCTTCTAATAGGCCAAGTTGATAGAATTTAGTCCTCTGAGGGCAACTGATGTGAAACTCCCAAGTGGAGCAGTATTTGTGATTGCAAATAGTTGTGTGGAAATGAATAAGGCAGCAACTTCTCACTTCAATGTCAGGGTGATGGAGTGTCGACTTGCTGCAAAGGTAAGAACATGGAAAACTAGTGAAACTCTTAGTAGGCTTTTATTTCTTTTTCTGCTTATTCTGACGTAGTTGGTATCTTTTCACACGTTTTGGGCAACATTCTAATTGAAGGGTTTGGGGTACAGACCAACTGGACTCCAAACTGAGGAAATGGATAAACCAATAGCTGTTGTACACCTAGCAGCATGAAGATAATAATAAGATAATAATAATTCAGGACATAGTATTAGAGAGAGTAGAGAATAAAGTAGGGATTTAAAGTTAGGAGGATAGCTAATAGGCAATGGTTAGTATAAGATCAGATAGTAAGTAATCTAGTCCTCTTTAAAGGGACATGGGAATTAAATATTATGGAGGATCCAGAGTAGCACATAATATGAATAGAAAGTTGGAGAAACCTGAGGCTGGAGGCTAAAGAATGGATCATGGGTCAGAAGCTAYGCTCTACTCTTCCTTTGATCTCTTTCCTTCCGAGCTGATGGATATCACCTAATGATCACCAACCTTCACCAGGTTCTATCTGTCTGTAGTAACAATTTTGTATCTTTTTCTATACTGGACACTCTAAAAATACAGACTTRGTACAAACTCCCTGTGTCTAGAAGGAAGAATCAGCCCAGCACTGACCTAGATCCTGTGGAGATGTAGATGCAGTTATTCCTTGTGACTGACTAAGCACTTGTCTTCTTACTCCTGCATCATGAGATTGTGAAGCTAGGGAGAGGAGAGATATGATAAGCCAGAAAAATAAAAGTGTTTTTCTGTTTTAGTTCTTAAACTCTTATCCCCTACCCCAGCCTGACTAGTTCCAAAAGTGATCTTATTTTGTTTTCTGTTGTAAACAGATATGGTCACACAGGCTTTGGCTTCCTGCTGTCACATCTTCATGCTTCTCTGTACATTAGGAGTTCTTCAAGGCCTTTGCTTAATCTTTTTGTTTCTTTTGGTCTTTCCTCCAGATAATCTCATGCCCTTTCAGAGTTTCAACTTCCATCTCTATGCTGGTGAAATCCCAGTGATTATCTTCAATACAGGCTTTTTTTGTGTGAGCTCCAAACTTGTATATTCAGCACCTTATTGTATATTTCCACTCGAATAAATCATAGACCTCTTAAACTGAGAATGTTCAAACTGAACTCCATCTTACTCTCACAAACCTTTTCTTCTGTCATTTGCCCTATCATCATTCATTAACTATGGCAAAGACTTCTCACTGTTCATTAAATCCATGCTGTCTCTCTCCTTATCATTCTTTAAATTAAACAGTTATAATGATGGTTTAGAAAATTAAATCTTATCTGGCAATTTCCTTGCTTACCATCTTTCAGAAGCTTCTCATTTCTTTGGAATAAGGTAAAAAGTTCTATTGCCAGCTGGAGAGCTAAATACCTGCATCATCTTCTTCACCTCCTTGTATCTCCTACTTTCATTACATTCCAGCCATGAGGTTTATTCTCAACTCCGGAACTTTGCACATGTCCAGGACACTCTTCTCTGAAGTCTCATTTAAATGTCCTTGAAAGAAACCTTCCTTGACTTCCTTAGGATTTCTTTATATTTTGCATCTGTCGGGTATGGTACTTATCACAATTATTTTTTAAATGTCTGTCTCCTTTTTCAGATTTGATTTTGCCTGAAAGTTGAGGCTATGTCCATGTTGTTAACTCTTATATCCCTAGTGCTTAGGCTGAAATAGGTGCAGGATAAACATTTCTTGAGTAAATGAATGTCTACTTCTTATTTTACCTTCTCTGTCCCGTTTATTTCCCTACATTTCACAATTTTTCTTTTACAAGTGCCTTTTGTGTGCCCAGCACTGACCTAGATCCTGTGGAGATGTAGGTGCAGTTATCCCTTGTGACTGACCAAGCACTTGTCTTCTTACTCCTGCATTATGAGGTTGTGAAGCTAGGGAGAGGAGAGATATGATAAGCCAGAAAAATAAAAGTGTTTTTTTTTGTTGTTTTAAGGTTTATACCTTCTTTCTAAACAGATCAAGATTTAAATGCTTTATATTTGAAATTTATTAAGATAATTTATAAAACCTATGTAGAAAAATGTTTTAACATTGAACTTTTCATAGCCTCTGATCAGTACATATACACAAAAGGAGTACAATAAGTTTTTCAATATCAAGGGTTCATTGAACTTTTACTCCCTTAGGACATTCTTCCTCTTTAGGGAGATGGAAGAAATTAGTCTTATTTGTTTGAGGTTTACTCTTGTTGACTTTTTATCTTGAGGTTGATGAGTAAATGTTGTCTTCCTAAGAAGACCTCAGACATACACAATATTATTTTGAAAGTTCTATCACGAAATTATATATCCTCTACTAGAGCCACAGGTGACATTTGAATAGGTTCATATTGTCACTACTCTGGTCCAAAGAAGAAAGAAGAAAATGAGGAATAAAATTGTGGTATGAGGGGAATGTCTCTTAAAAGTTAACTAAAAGTGTTTCTGAAAAAGAAACACTCAGAAACAGTAGTAACTGAAGATCTTAATCCACTCCACAACCTCCTATTCTGGAGGATATCCTCTGAGTTTAACACATAGCTCCATATTCATTTTAGAGGTACTTTGGTCAGTGAAATTGACATCTGAATTTGAATTTTGGCCACATATTTTCCCCAAATGATGTAGATAAGACACATTGTTTAAAATACATAATATTTCCTCTCTTTCAAAATATGGAGGAAAAGTGGGAGACTTCATCATAATGGAGACAATTTTCTGTATCAGGTTGCTGCGGATCATTAGAATCCAAAGTTCTGTACAATAGGGAAATGAAGATAAAATTGCTGATAAGTGCTGTATCCAGAGATGTTGATGTTAGGAATATGTTTTTGCTTAGTAATGTAGACTGAGATTCTGTTAAGCATATTTTCCTTGCAACATGGTTTATGTTTTCATTCTTCCATTTTGGTAGTAGGTGAGTAGAATTAATTTTTCTTTGAAATAAGTCTTATCAAATAAGAAAATAAACTCGTGTTAAAAGGTAAAGAGGCTTATCTCAATCAGGACAAACTTTTGTGTTTGCAGACAATAATATGTCAGTGGAGAATGGCTAGTTAGGATACTTTTAGATAGAGCTCCACAGGGCAAAGGTGTAATGAATAACGTTTATTTTTCTTCTTCTCCTATCTTCCTTAAATCCTTTTTTGAAATTGAGTGTCTTTCATATTTAGTTAGCACAAGGAAGTACACTAAACCAATAGAGGTGATTTTTATTTGTTTTACTTTAATATTGAGTTTCTTTTATTCTTGTTTCCTTTCTCTGTCTCTGTCTCTCTGTCTCTGCCTCTCTCCACTAGCTTTCAAAAACTAATTGATTTAGATTCATTAAAAGTCATAATCTTATAGAGCATTTGAACTAAAATTAAAAACATTTCAAAGAAAACTCAGTAGAGATTTATAATTATTACTTGCGTAAATGATACTTTTAAGTGAGGCACATTTTTATGTTCTTAAATTAACAAAGTGGTAGGAATCTTTAATGGGCACAAAATCCTTCATATTTTTCATGTATTTAGTGGCTTAAACTTTTCCAGAAATATATTATGTCTATAAAAGAGAGTATCCTTTAGTTACATTGAGGGATAAAATTGTGATGGCAATAATAAGTATTATGGGAAGTCAAGTAGGGAAGAGAAATTATACTGTTGATTTTTGCATATCCTCAACTCTTTGTGGCAATGTGTGGAGCAATGAAGGAGAGAGTTTCATGTGGTCCTTTGACACTTCAGGGAATATTTCCAGTGATTCTTTTGAGGGCCTTTCTGGTCAGGGACCATCACTCACCCAGTTTTTCAGCTCTTTCCACTTAGTGGTCAATATGGAACTTATTCTTTGTCTGATAAAATGTGAGGAGGAGTTGGCATAATATTCTTAGGTCTTTGGCAGTTTCCTTGAATTTGAGCAGGGAAAAACCAAATACCCAAGAATGTAGCCAATTTCCTCCATTCTGTTGATTCAATAGAGCATACTGCCAAGATTCTAGCATGGAGTTTTCAGAGAATGGTGAGTCCAAGCTGTATGGCAGCGGGGTGGGGGGGGGACACATACTGGGGAACTGGTAATATGTTCAGTGGAAACAGGACTTGGCAGGCCCTTCAGTGCTGTATTAAGGATTACCCAGACTTAGTCCTGGAAATAGTAGGGAGACATTAATTAATTAATGTTGTTAGCAGGGGATTTGAGAAATATTATTCCAACAGCAGAAACTTTTGACTTGATGAACAGAAGTGTGTCTTAAAGAGTATTGGGTAGGATACAAAGAAAGAGAGATGAGAGAAGCTATCACTGGACCTTGTAAAGGGTTGCATCGAAGTCTTCCCGATTGTTTTTCTGTTTTCCTTTTGACATGTATGCCATAACTTTGAAAAGTTTTCTAGGACATCTTCCCTACCCTCACTAGATTCCGTGCTTTTGTATATACTCTAAGCACATCTTATATTTTTCAGTTAGAGCAGTTTATCACAATTGGATTAAGTTCTTCACTGTGTAATGTTTATTTAACATTCTGTCTCTTCTGGTAGCTGTGAACTCCCTGTGGTCTAAAGGCGTGTRTGCCTCAGTCATTGCAGTCTGTCTGCCTGGGGCCAGGGAAGTGCCAGGTACTCAGTAAACACTCATTGCATGCAGATGTGCACAAATGAAGGAAAAGCATTGAGTTCATAAGGGCTGCAGCTTCCAACTGAAATGATGAGTAAAACATATGGTGTTGCTGCTGTGAGGTTTGACAAAGGTAGGATGGAAGGTGACTGGAATTCCCTCATGGAATTTTCTTACGAGTATTTGGTAATTTTAGCTTTGAATGTGTCTGTTGGTCACCAATATACCCTTCAGATGTAGTTGTTTTAAGGTAGTAGTTAGTTGAAACCAATAGCCAAATTCAGTTTGCTGGGGGAAAAATATAGCAAGAGAGGTTCAGAAGATCAGAATAAGCTTGGGAGATGGCTTCAATTAAATAAGGAAAGAAAAAAAAAGATGAGTGCTGG